AGAAAGCACGGAAAAATAAAACTTTGTATCAGTTGCAGCCTGTCTGCTAAAGAGAGTCGATTTTCATTCCAGTCCCGTATTTTTCCTTGGATATCCCTGTGCATCCTATGGAAATTACATTCCATAATTTTGTCTAAATTTATTGGTATGTAAACACCGAGGTATCTCCACTCTGAGGTTATCCATTTGTAAGTAAATCTTTCTTGTAAGGCTAATCTGGTCTTCTTTGGGATCATTATTGGATATAGTTCAGATTTGTTTGTGTTTAGTCTTAATCCCGAGATCTTTCCAAACCTGGAGATGATATCCGCGATGGCCGGCAAGGATGATGATGGATCAGAGACGTACAAAGCCATGTCATCGGCATACATTGTCATCTTATGTTCCTTTCCATCTATTGTAACTCCTCTGAAGGTCTTGTTGTTACGGAGGTTATCTGCCAAGGGCTGTATGGCGAGCGCAAATATGAGTAGTGAGAGCGGGCAGCCTTGCCGTGTTCCTCTTGTGGGTGAGAAGAAAGCCGAATTTACATTATTACATTACATTATCAAAACCCTGGATCTAGGGTTTTGATAAAATGCCCTTAAGGCTGTTAAGAAGTTTGCACCGAACCCCATGCGCTGTAACAGAATTAATAGGTATGAAATTTCGATGGAGTCGAAGGCCCTCTCAAAATCTAAGGCCAGAATCAGGGATTCTTCCTTGGAGCGCCTGCTTTTTAAGATCACATTCAGGGACCGTTGTATATTTTCTGTGATCTGTCTGTTTGGGATAAATCCTGTCTGATCAGTGTTGACGATATCAGGAGCCACATTCTTAAGATGGTTTGCCAGAATTATTGAAAAAAGCTTGACATCATTATTTATCAGTGCAACGGGGCGATAGGACACTGGATCTGATGGGTCTTTGTTCTTCTTGGGAATGACTGTGATTGAGGATTCTGACCAGGATGGTGGTAGGATTCCGTCTTTTAGGGCCGAGTTGAATAGGGCTAATAACGGGTCTGTTAGTGAAGTGCAAAATGTTTTGTATAGTTCAGCCGGGAGGCCATCAATACCCACCACTTTATTAGGTTTTGTTTGTTTGATCGCATCTATCACTTCCTTTCGCGTTATAGGGGAATCCAGTGCCGATGTTTGGGCTGCAGATAATGATTTTGGAGGAGCTAGTGAGTCTAGATAGGCATTGATTGAGCTTATTGTCAGGTAAGATGATTTATAAAGATGATCATAAAACTGTGCAAAAATGTCTGCTATTTTCCTCGATGTGGTATGATTTTCTCCCTGTGGAGATTTAATAGAGCCGATGACCGCTTTCTTTTTTTAATCTTTCACCCTCCACGCCAGAAGTTTCATATTTTTTGCCGATTTATGCCGGAATTTTTGTTTAAGTATCAGCAGATTCCGCTTGACTGAATTAATTTCCAGAGAATCAAGAATTTTACGTTCAGCTTGTAGTTTGAGATATATTGAGTTTTGTCCCGTTCTTTTATGTTCCTGCTCCAAGTTGGTAATTCTATTCAATGTATCTAGTTTCAACTTCTCTGTTTCTCTTTTTATGTGAGTGGTTGCTGAGATGATGAATCCTCTCAGGACTGCCTTCAGCGCGTCCCATTGTATTGCTGGATTTGTTTCAGTATCTTTGTGTATTTCCAAAAAGTTTAAGATTTCGTTGTTCAGTTTTTCTGTGACTGACGTTCTTGATAGGATGGACGCATCCATGGACCACTGCCTGTCCGTTTTCTCTTCCATCAGGTTTTGGAGATGGCAGTCCAACCACGCATGTTCAGACAGATGATGCGGACCCATGTTGGTGGAGTGTAGAGAAGACTTTAGTGACGAAGATATCAGGATATAGTCAATCCGAGTAAACATCTTGTGCCTGGCAGACAAGTAAAAATAATCTTGTTCTTGAGGGTGCTTTGCTCTCCAGGTGTCTGTAAGTTGAAAGGAGTCTAGGAGCTTTGCAAGTTTGGTCAGAGAATGTTGTTGATGTTGTTTCCTAGGCGTAGTGTGTGATTTATCTTTGTCAGAGTCAGCTATGAAATTGAAGTCTCCCCCTATTATCAAATGGCCTTCCTTAAAGTTTTGAAGTTTAGAGAGAGTGGTGTTAAGGAAGGCTATCTGGTCATCATTAGGGGCGTAAATGGAGACAAAAGACCAGGGTTTACCTTCTATGGAGCGTTTTAGAAAAATATATCTGCCCATGGGGTTGGCCATTTTTTCTTTAAGAACAAAATTAACTCTTTTAGCAAAAATTATGGCCACCCCTCGTGACTTTGAGGATCCCGCTGCCATATATTGTTGTGGGAACAAGTTGGATTTCAATATTGGATGAGTTGTGGAGTGGAGGTGCGTTTCTGGAAGAAACAGGATTGTCGGGGAGATGTGTTTTATGTATTGTACCACACTTTTTTTCTTAACCACGTTGTTCATTCCTCTTATGTTAATCAAATTGATCTTGAGAGTAGACATTGTGTTGTGTCTTTGAAGTGTTAGTCTGTATGAGAATGTTGATCTGTATTGACCTTTAGGTATGAGTGTGTTCTGGCTTTGTTGTACTGAGTGTTTGCGAGTCTGTTGTCTAGGAGGTTTGCTGCTACTTTTAAAATAATATTTACTCTCTTGGCAAAAATTATGGCCACCCCTCGTGACTTTGAGGATCCCGCTGCCATATATTGTTGTGAGAACAAGTTTGATTTCAATATTGGATGAGTTGTGGAGCGGAGATGCGTTTCTTGAAGAAACAGGATTGCCAGGGAGATGTGTTTTATGTATTGTGCCACTCTCTTTTTCTGGACCATGTTGTTCATTCTTCTTATGTTAATCGAGTTGACCTTGAGAGTAGACACTGTATGGTGTCTTTGAAGTGTTAGTCTGTATGAGTATGTTGATCTGTATTAACCTTTAGGATATGAGTGTGTTCTGGTTGTGTTGTACTGAGTTTTTGTGAGTCTGTTGTCTAGAAGGTTTGCTGCTACTTCTTAAATAATATGAGCTGATTTGGGAACTGTGTAATAAACTAATAGTGCAATAAAATCAGTGCAATATTAAAGATCTGAGAAATCAACTGAGTAATTAATTGGTTTAGATTCTATCAGATTGAATTATAATCAAGATATATGTTTAGTAATTAATTAACTAGTTAAAAACAATCATAAGTTGTAAGTTTAAGAATTAATTTAACTTTTTGTTTTAAAAAACAAGCAAACTGGATCAATTAAGTACAATCTCAAGTTTGGTTAAACTATTTCAAGAACTAATCAAGTTATAACAGTATTTCAGCAGTTCATTAATTAATCAGGATCTATTTTGGCTTAAAATAATCAAGTTGCAGTATGGGCAAAGTCTGCTGTATTTCAAAGATTCAAACACTATATTTAATAAATCACCCCCCTTGAATGGTTGTTCTACTTATCAGTCTCCTTCCGCTGTCTGCACGTTTCTTTTTGCGGCGAGGCTGCTGTTCTGTGTACTATGTGTTAGAGTTGTGTTCCAATAGGTGGGGTATAACTAGCTGAGCTGTCAAAAGAGCGTATTGGTGAGCTAGTTACGTAGGTAACGTAGTGCTCTGCTGTTCTTCTATCTTACGAGATCTTACTATCTTAGTGTGGACCGGCTTCATGAAGATCGCCCTGCTCCTTAAAGGGCGAGGACTCTGAAGCGCTCTTTTTCCGGGAGCAAAACTACAAACACCCCCTCCCCTCCTAGAAATCATTGTATGAAAATTCACAAAACCTTTTACGCTAATATAATTTATAAAACATTAACTGGCAAGTCATGCAAAACATCATTTGATTTACTGTTTCCTGGGATTATCGGCATGCTCTGAATGAAATTATGTGGTGCTTGCTGCCGCCCGGGAGGATACTTTGCTGCTTCGTGCAGGGGAGTCCGACGATTCATGGCGCCTTTTACCAGAGCGTCCGTTAGTGTCCATGGGCTCCGAGATTCTTAAGGCTTCTAATAGTGCCAGTCCTGTGTCCTCGTCCGTTGCCTGTAGTGTGGATCCTTTATATGAAACTTGTAGACATCCTGATGCCATCCAACGATATCTAATGTTCTCCTGTTGAAGGCGGGAAGTTGTTGTCTTTAAAGATTTGCGGATTTTCAATACTTCCTGAGGCACGTCGGGATATACTTGGACATGGCAGTCCTTGTAAGGTAGGGAGGCTTTGACTGCTGCTTCCTTTAGAATTTGCTGTCGTGTGTGGTTGTCGGCAAACTGAACCAGGATGTCTCTAGGACCCCGGTGTTTCGGGTTGGTAGCCGGGCCCAGCCTGTATGCTTTAATAATGACGGGAGCTACCCCGTCTTCTAGTTGAAAGACATACGCCAGCCATGTTGTTATAAAGCAGATCAGGTCTCCGTTTGCCTCCTCTCCCTCTGGGACCCCTCTAAATTTCACGTTCAATTGCCGGACTTGCGATTCTAACATTAAAATATGTTCTCTCAAATTCATTTCTAATGATTGGAGTTCTTTGATGTTTTCTTTTAACATCATGCTCATGTTTAGCGCGGATTCGGCCGCTCCCGCTGTTTTTTTCCAGCGCGTTTTGAATATCATTTAACTGATCTTTAAGTGGCTGGATAGACAGCATCGTGTTAGCCGTAAGTCTCTTTTCCATTTGTGCCAGTAAGGGGGAGGTGGCCGTTTCTGACACAAGAGATTGATTAGCGACCATTTTGTGAGTTTCCGGGCCTGATTTAATTCGCCCCTTTTTCGTGTTTCGAGGGGTAAAAAAGTTCTGAGCCTATTTTAGAGGTATTTTTGTGGATGTCGTTTTTGGGCTATCGTTCTTACCCATTCCCTGTCAGTCAGTATGATCGATTCGGTTCTGTGAAGTGCTGTTAAAGAGGGGAGAGACGGAGCTCGTAGATGAAGCGACTGCCATGTTCATCGACGTCGCCACGCCCCCCTTGCCAGGAATCAGGCACCTACCTGAGTTCCAGATTATTTGTTGTATTCCATGCTCATCTCGTTCTTCCTTCAAAGAGCTCAAGGAACATGAGTCTACCCAACTATATTTTATCCGCACACTAACCCTGTCAGGCAGGTCAAGCAGAAAGGGAACAACTTGCCCAAGTTCACCTCGTGAGTGTCACGGTTGAGCAGACCACCAAAGGTTTTGTTTTAGAGTGTGCAACTCAGACGCTCCCACAGACGAGCTCCCACTTTTGCTTCTGCCTGTTCTAGGTGGACCTTCTGATCGCAAGAAAGTATGCCGAATGCAGAAACTCATGCAGAGATTCACCATGCAGCCTCTTCCAAAAGCATGCAGTTCCACTGGGCATCTGCACTGGAACTGACTGACCGACCCAGCCACAGCCAAAGTAAAAATGTGTTAGGATTGCTTGCCCCCAGCGGAGGCTGACTGAAAGACTGCAAAACCAGAGGAATGAATCATGCAGAGAGGCGACTGGCATTCTCCTCACAGGCTGGGGTTTTGGGGCTCACAGAAGCCTGAAATTGTTTAATGTATTCATTTCTCATGGCACCACAGCAGCTCTCCCAAGGCACACGATGTCTGGAATGGCTGCTTTCAGGAGCTGATGGCACCCTGAGGCCAAGAACATGAATCGGGGAATTCTGGTTTAATCTCATCTCTAACATGAATTCACTTGGCAAGCTGCCCCCACTCCGCCTGTCTCTCCACCTCCAATATGCATTGCGGGGAGGGCGGGGTATAAATGCAATAAATAAATAAATAAGGAGATAATATACTGTCCTGCATTACAGGGCTGTTGTGCAGGTTACAATATATGCATTTAATATATTCATCTAATAAACACTTTAAGTAATATTCTAAACTGAGAATCACCATCAACTAGAAATGAGGAAATATCATTACGAATACAACATTTTTACTTGCTTTTTGTTTTCTTACATGTTGGCTGTGAATTTTCTTGCCAAATCTATCTTCTTTGCTACTTTCCCTGTGCTATTTCTTTCTTGCGTGGCAGTTTTAAAGGTAAAAGTAAAGGTAAAGGTTCCCTTGCTCGAAAGCCAGTCGAATCCGACTCTAGGGTTGCGGTGCTCATCTCCGTTTCAAAGCCGAAGAGCCAGCGCTGTCCGAAGACATTTCCGTGGTCATGTGGCCGGCATGACTAAACACCAAGGCGCACGGAACGCTGTTACCTTCCCACTTAAGTGGTACCTATTTATCTACTTGCAATTTCTTGCTTTCAAACTGCTAGATGGGCAGGAGCTGGAACTAGAGATGGGAGCTCACACCATCATGCGGCACACTCGGGTCTTGAACTGCTGAACTACTGACCCTCCACAGCCAGCAGTTCAGGCAGTTTTACTATACGCCGATTATAAGCAAACGGAGCATCAATTTAAATGTCAGCTTGAACGATTGAATTTGTGTTGGGGGAAAATAGATGACAACAAGTTTTGTCCCAAATGCCAACATTCTGATAACACAATCTGATTACATCTGGTAACATCACTACCAGGATGGCTCAAAATCTGCCAGGAAAGTGACGTGGGGCCTGTCCCTGTTCTCCTCCTTCCCCCAAAGCGTGAAATCCAGACTCCGTTTTCCATTAAGGGAAGTTGCTCCTGTCAGGGGAACAGAACATTTTCCCCACCCCCATCTCAGCGATCTCTGCAAAATGCTGCTCCTGAGAAATGGGAGACCATTTCAGGGAACTCCACGGTCTGCCCTGGAGGCAGAAAGGTTCCACTCCACTGAAGGAAGTGCCCTTCTTCTTCTTATATATCTAGCAGGTCTCCTTCCCCAGCACAGTGGTAGCCCAGAAAACCCTGTCGCTGGTGAGGGTGGGGACAGCTACACTGCTGGGGATTCTTCCAAGGGCAAGGCGACAGACCTTTGATGAGGTTGTTGTAGGCCTTGGCCCAGCTGTTGCGATGGTTTGTGGTCAAGATCCCGATGGGCTCCTTGTTGGTTTGGAGGGAAGTATTCCAAATCTTCTCCAGCTGGAGGAAGATCTGGTCGGTGGTCAAAGGACTGCCGTCACTCCTGTAAACGTCGAGCTCGAAGAACTGGAGAGGAGGGAGAGGAACCATCGACCAATCAATCTAATTTATTGCGGCAGGAGCCGGTAAAACAGTAGAATCTCTCCTTATATATAATTGAATAGTGGGTGCCAAAGTTCTAATTCTAAAATGCACTCCCTTAGTGTATGGCTGATGGCACTGCTCCTCAGCCTATATCGCCACCAATCAGAAGGCAAAGCCCGGGTCCCGCCCACACCACAACTGCTGCGACAACCTGGTCTTTTGCATATGGAAGCTGATTGGACTTCAGTCCATTCCACACCTCAAACTCCCCCCCCCCGCAAGGCAGTTGGAATTTTCAGTTGCATAACATACCGTATTCTGGTGGTGTGCAGGTCCCAGGTTCATGTTTTAAAAGCAGACTGACACTGTTTGCCCAAAGCCAGAGCCCTCTCCCAGAGCCTCTTTCTAGCTCCCGTTGTATTTATTTCCACAACGGGCCTTATTTCTAGTTCTGATATAAAAGGGATTAAAACAGTAATAACATGGGAATAATGGTATAAAAACATTAACAGGAGTTAATAACATTAGTGAAGTAAAATAGTGTTAATAAAAGAATCATACAATTTTTTCAGCTAAAGTAAGTTTGCGCAGTGGCAGTATCGTAGCCAATGAGGTTAATCCGAGGCGCGATTATTGCTAATCGAAAGGAACCATCAGTCGCAACAAGGCGCTCCGTCACAGGCCATGCTGCTTCTGCTTGGAACAAAACAGAAAGCCTGCGAAACATCCCTCCAACTTGACCTGCCCCATTTCCACAGAATGCCCTTACGTTTAAAAAATAAATAAATGCTCAGGCTAGGGTTCTGGAGAGCCTCCAGGACAAGAGAGCTCTGTGAGCCAGCACAGTATAATGATCATTAGGTTATTGAAATCCAATACCAGTGGTGTCTGAAGTGGTTCTGAGTGTTGGATTAGGTAAAGGTAAAGGTTCCCTTGTTCGAAAGCCAGTCGAATCCGACTCTAGGGTTGCGGTGCTCATCTCTGTTTCAAAGCCGAAGAGCCAGCGCTGTCCGAAGACATTTCTGTGGTGATGTGGCCGGCATGACTAAACACCAAGGCGCACGGAACGCTGTTACCTTCCCACCAAAGTGGTACCTATTTATCTACTTGCAATTTCTTGCTTTCGAACTGCTAGGTTGGCAGGAGCTGGAGCTAGAGACGGGAGCTCACTCCGTCATGCGGCACACTCGGGTCTCGAATTGTTGGATTATGGCTGGGGGAAAGACCTGGGTTCAAATCCCCACTCTGCCATTAAGCTCACTGGGGGAACTCGGGCCAGCCAAACCTTCTTCTGAAGACTGTCGTGAAAACAGAACACGAGGAAGGGAGGAACCACGCCGACAACCTCACCTCTTGGTGAAAGGTTTGGTTTTTTTAATGACCAAATAAAGGAGGCAAGGAATGCTGCCTCTCTATGGGGATTTCCAAGTATCTTGTTTTGTAGACGATCCACACTTCGCCTCCTCTGTGATATATTTCCGTTCTACATTGCATGCCACTTTCACTTTCTTTGATTGTGGGATTTTATGGAAGCCTCCACACTGCATGCCAGTTTCACTTCCTTTGATCTCTTGGTTTTATGGTACTGTCTGCATAGATTTATGGCTGTACAGGGGCGACTCTGCAGACAGTACAGCGTTGGCCCGGGGTATTGGAATGTGGTTTTGAGCTGCATCTTTTTCTGTTCCAGTGTGAGTTTGGTAAAACAAGGGAACGAATGCTAGATGTAGAACGGGCCAGTGTCTTAAGTCTGAACCACTTTTCTAATTTGTTTCAACAAAGCCGGTTGTTTTCATTGGTGTGTTCTGCTGTGTCCGTGAGTCCAAGCCCAGTCTTGGTTAAATTATCAGAAGGGGATTTGTTCCAGGGTCCCAGGTGAGGGGACAGAGGAATCAAATCTTCCTTGCAAGGACATGGTGGGTAGAAACCACCCCCCCCCGCCCGGTCTTTTGACGCCTGGGTACCTGGAAGTTGTGGACCACGGTGATGTGGGTGGAGGGCTTCTTTCCTTTTGCGTAGTTCACCACGGAATCCCGTTTGGGGCCGGGGATGCGGCAGGAAGAGAGGATCTGGTAGTACTGGTTCATGCAGAGAGGTTTTCCGCCAAGGTATTCCACGGGAAGCGTCTCACTAAGGGCAGAGAAACAGAAGACGATTTCAAAACCGGCTTCCCGAGAGGTCACGAATGCTCAGATTTTCAGAGGGCAAGAAGCTCAGACATAAAAGACCATCGCATGGAGATGAAGGGTCTCTCCCCATATGAAAACTGGGCAGCCTTCTTAGAGGGTTCAGATTTCAGGAGGGGGAGTCAAGAGTCTCAGCAGGTTTAAAAGCCCACTCTTGGGCGCATTTAAGCGGTCAAACAAAGGGGAAGGAGAAAATCTGGCTTTGTAAAAACAATATTCTTCACAATTGCTCTCTTATTCCCTTTACTCAACAATAATACTGGTATCAACACAGGTGAATAGCCCACCCCCTTTTTAAAATGTTTGCAAGCAAAGGTATTTGTATGTAGGCCTTGCTCACTTCATGAAGAGGCCCATTTCATTAACAGACGCTTGGTGTGTAAGATCAGCAAATTGGCTAGAATTACAGGCATGGCTGCGAGGCGCAGTGGTTAGAGCGGTGGTCTAGGAATAAGACCATATGGGTTCGAACTCCCATTAACCCATGATGCGCAGGACTCCCCCCTCCCATCTGAGTCTCTCTCTCTCTCTCTCTCTCTCTCACACACACACACACACAC